GCCTCAGGGACGTGTCTTTAAGGCGAACTTCCTCATCACGGAGCACACCTCCCTACCCCCCACCCCACGCACCCCGCCCATGACTCCTGCAGGCTCTTGGCAGTAACAGAGCAAAGTGAAAGTGAAACTTAAACTGTCTGCTGCTTTTAACCCCCATTTTACACTACTTGCGTTCCGTCTCCGCTCCGCTCCGGTCCGACTTTCGCAGCAAATACACACCTATTATAATCCGATCCGTCAAAATTAGAACAGATCCTATTTTTGACGGATGCCGGAGCTGTGCCAGAGTCAATTTTTAAAGATTACGTTGCACCGACAGGAAAAGGAACGAGCACAACATCCGTATTTTCAAAATAAGACACTATTTGGCGGAATAATTTGTCGGAATAATGTCAAAGTTGCAGCTATTTTAATAAATACATGGATATATTTCTACACAAATGCTGTCAGAATGTGTCGTTCTGTTTGGGAAGCAGATGGAAACATGTAGCATGAAGCATTTGTGTACACACACGATACACGTGGATTTTATTTTGAAATCAGAAGTTTCAGAAAGATGAGAGCGAGACAGTTTCAACATAGATATCAAAAACTTTTATGTCAATGTTTTCAGCTGTGTTTGGAGTTCGTCTTTCATAAAATTAATTATTTTTTGCTGTTATCACTGAATTTATCACGCAATCTCCTTCCTGCACACTCTGTCGGACCGGAGCGGACGCTGTATAAATTGAGACACAAACAAACACCTGCGACCTGCGCAGCGCAGCGCAGCGCAGCGCAGTGGAGACGCATGTAATGTAAATTGGGGGTTAACACTACTTCTCACTCAGTGAAGCTCTTTTCAGATTCAAAATACCTTTGAGGAAATGTATATTCAGATGCCAAGTAAACCGCACCCACGCACACAACACCCCCTTAACTCCCCTTGCTGCAGAGCTGTGGGCTCATTCAGCTAACTCATTCTGGACACATCTCTATACAAAAATATAACTTACACCTGATCATATTTTTCTTTTTCACATTATCAAATCACTTGGTTAAATCTGATCCCTCTGTGTGTTGTGATTCAGTGAGAAAATGTCTGTCATTTGCCCCCTTCTTCTCATGGTTTCCCTTTATAATTTTGATGGCTTACACTTGCAATTTATTGCCAAGGCAACAGCACTGTATGACATCTATGAACCTGCTAGCATCTACCCAGAGGGTCAGCATGTAAACATCAGAAAGCAATAACAGGAAGCTGAAAAAAGCAAACAAAATGAACCCAAATTGTTTTTTTCCCACCCTTAAAATGACTCGTTTATTTGTAGCCAATTGGAGGTTTTAGTTGCTATTTATTGGTTTTTAATCATTATCAGTTGCCACCAAAATGCAAAAATTGGGTGAAAATTATTATTTTTAATGTATTGTTTTGTCTGTCCTTTTTTTTTAGCAAAACATCTCATGAATTTCTCACATTTTGGATAAACTTTTTGAAAGTTTGTACATACTTTGAAATCTATGGTTGAAGATGTCTGCCAAGGCTAATCAACCTAAACTAATATAAMTTTAGCTCCAACTCAGTGAATTACTCAAACATCGGCTAAAAATATTGTGAGTCGATCACAATCATTGAGTGTGTGAACTGTTATTTCTTAATGTAAGACAATATTAGTTTAACATTTGGAATATAAGAATGCCTTCAACTAATTCAGGATATTTGATTTATTCTGGGTTTTGTCCAACTTGTGGAACTATTTCTCTGTGTTTTGAGGTGAGGAATCTGTCCCAGCACAGTGACCTACATAGAAGAAACCTGTTGAAGCGGCACTAGAAACACATACAACATGGACTAAAAACCAAGATTGTCTGCATCCCATTCAAGGACATTGCTGCTTGTCTGCACTTGTTTTAAATTTTAACAACCAATAGGATCTGATTGATATTCAAGAGATGGAGACAGAAAGTGACTCATGAGACAGTCTGCTTATTTTTTTTTTGTCTTTTAGTGCTTTTATAAAGTAAAAGGCAGAAAGAGGAAGCCGTGGCCTCCGTTGCATTCTAGCTTTAGCCTCACCACCTTTGGCTGTCCTAAATAATGCACAGCAGTCGTTGGCTGATTATTAAATTATTCAGTGAGAGAGCGGATCACAAGATATAAGGTCCTAGAACAAGAAGCAGAGGCAGACACGACAGTGCAGAGTCAGACGGATCACCGGTCTTCTCCAGTCAGAGCCAAACCGCTGCGCCGACTCAGCGTTGGTGGTATAAATGACAGGGACTGAGCTTAATTTGCCACAAGGTGGTCACTGCTAATGCATTTAGATGTGCTGCGAGTTTATGGTTGTAAACTCAGAGGGACTACTAATCTTTGTTTACACCTTTTAGCTACCATTATATGAAACTTTAGCACGATATCTGTCAAATTGATTGAGTTCAAGCCATGTGCTAACTAAAGTTGATTGGCTGTGATGACCATCTTGAATTGGATTGACTTCAAACGTTAATCAGTTGAGGCTACACACCCAGTGGTTAATTTCTGAGATTTTCATTGAACCCCATTCAGCGGTTTATTAAAGGGATCCCCGATTAGTTTTAACATTAGACTTTATTTGATAAACATATATTTTAACTGTAAAATACAGACTGTAAAAATACTGTAGGATGTTTAGTTTTGTTCATTTTTAAAAATTTATTTAACACAGACTGGGCCATTTTATTTACATTCAAAGCTTTCTGGGTAAATGATGACGTGGATAGGTCCTTGATGTGAGGCTGCTAGCGAGCTATATCCACCCTGAAGGTTAATCTTGGACAATATCTGATGATCGACTCTTTTAAATGAAACCAGAGAGCGTTGAC